TTGAAGGTAGATTTTTTTGCATCATTTTGAGAAACTTATTATATGATGTAATTGAATGACGTAATTTTTTTATCTTAGCAATAATTTAAAAAGGTATTTAAAATATATAATGCTATTTTATTTAATAAAACTATGTTATTTGACACATTTTTGTTTTATCTTCTCTTTCTCTGCGGCTATTCGTATATAAAAAAATTACAAAATTTTCATCTGTTGATGTGCTTTTTTGACGACATAAAATCAGTCCATCAAAGCTAAAGAATCTTTAAACTGAGATAATTGAATAAAAAGTCAAGAATAATAAAAATATTTAAAATAAGGAAAATAAATTATAATAAATAGAACACTTTAAGACAAAATCCAAATATTTTTAATATTTTTCAAATAAAATATTTCATTTTCAAAATTATACTTTTTTATTATATTTTAAAATATTATATTTTATTAAGATGGTTTTCTATTAATTGTATGTTTATTATGAAAAACAGCATTTTAGCAAAATTAGAGAAACTATTTTTTAAAAATTATTTTTAAAATCATCAAGTGTTTTTTCAAAATATGTCAAATTTTTTATAAACTCAAAATTTTGTTACATTTCGAAGCGATTAAATAGTTTGAAAACTATCTTCAAGAAAGATCAATTATTAAGCCCGATGGAAAAACCGATTATCTTTGCTTTTCTTTATTTAGAGGAGTCTATCTTAAGTATATTGGGGAAAATATTTGTGCAGACGAATTCTTCCTCCTGAATAACATCTTTGTTTCACTCCAAATTGACGTACCACATCACAATAAGATTCGATTCGTGTTATTTAACAATTTCTAAATCACATTTCAGTGTACAACAAATTCGTAATTATTTATTTAATCTTAAACGTGCAATCATTCGTCCAAAAAAAAAATCCATACACTTGTTTCCTTATTTTAAATTAAATTTTCTTCCAAATTTAGAATCGAATTGCAATAAAGATTCCCATAAGCATCAATTTTATTGACCTTTGAAAGACGAAATAAACGAACATAGAGATCGATTTTTCTTACAAAATTGGATTTAAGGAAAAAGGGATGCCTTTGCCTAGGATTCAGAGATTTAGATTGTAAAGACTGCATCTGGCCCGTATTGGAAACAGTATCGTATCCATAAACTTCCCATAGTCTCTCCCTTATGGTGATCCCTTTTTATTGGTATCGTTTTAATGCTTAGGAATCTATTCCATCACTCTATAAGTTGCTCGTTTCACGCACACGTGTATTTACATATATGACGAGATTATAAAATGTACAAATGTTTCTAAGAATCGAAAAATAGTTGCAAGCAAAGATGCACAGCAATATGCAATAAGTAAGAATTCATCAATCAATTCTTTGATGAGTGATTCAATAAATTTACGTATTATTTGGCATGCGTTATAATAAAAATAAAGTTTATTACTTACCATGTTTGCGATATTCTTCTAGATTCATATTATCTGCAACGAAATCAATTGTAACACTATAATACACGTTTTCGTGAAATTAACACATTTTTGATTGGATCAATTGAGATCCAAGCATTTTTAACGTTTCATTCTCAAAATCTGTGCTTAAACCATAAAATTAAAATTACAAATTTGAACAAAAAGAAATTATTTTTCATAATTAAAAAGATTTCATAATTTTTATTGCAAGATCTTTTATATTAAACCAATAATCCAGTCACGATCATTCATTTAAGTTAAAAACTTAAAAACAATTAACTTAACTTAAAAACAAACCAACAGTGAACGAGATAAAAGATTACTAAAAATCCTTCTCCCCTTTCCAAATAAATTTCGAATCAACACGAGAAATTTTGCACACACATTTTGGACGATTGATTCTCGCTCACCAATTGATCTTCACAGAAGCCAAATTTCAAAATTTCGATGGCACCGTATCAGGCGCATGTGTCGATGTGTTTAATTAATTAATGACCGTATCGAATGTCGGAAACGGGTAACTCGCGACTTGTTTCGCGGAAGCTTAGCCGTAACGATGCAGCGGATTTGAGTTGGGGTGCCGAGCAGATACGCTTATGCGTGTTGACCTAGCGTCGAACTTTAATGCTACGACAGGTACTTGGAGATAATTTGTACGGATTCATCATCGATCGCTTGTCACATGGGCCCAGAGCTTATTAGGCTAGTGTCACAAGGCTCCACGCGGCCTAGAACTACATAGATTGTACGTTTTTCTGAATTCGATCATCCCACAAATGGGCTAGAAACTGAGAAATAATGGCCAAAAGTCAAAATTTGTGCGGCAATTTTATGAGAATCGTAGATTTTGAGATTGCTGATAATATAATCGAATTTGACACTAAAGGTTTGAGATAAAGGTAAATTCAATAGTGGAGAATTTATTGTGATCTGAAAATGGCACTTGTATTTCTTTTTTTTCAAAAAAAGTCACAATTTTTATGATAGAGTTAATATTATTATTTATAAGAGATAATAATAATAATGAATAAAGTTTGCAATGAAAATACCTTATTCAGCATCTTTTAAATTTTTTTTTTAATGGGAAAAATAGTCAAAAGTCAAATTTAATCAAAATTTTTTAGAAATTGGAAAACATAGGTTTTTCAGGGCACTTGATAATAAATTTGAACATGAAAGATTCAATATTGTACAGAATATTGACTCTTGTACTGTTTTTTTTTTAACAATAATAAATAAAGTTCACAGGTATTAAAAATATATGATTTTACATCTTTAAAATTCCTCGTAACTTATTAAAATCGAAACAGGAAAAAAATATTTAAAATTTATATGATCTTTTTAGCAACAATCTAAATTTTCATATGGAACAAGTCTAATACCTATTTTTAATTATTTTTAATCATTTTTTTTAAACTTTTAATAAAATTTTTGTTAATTGTTGTATAAATCTTGAATTATTTATATATTAACAAATATATATTTAAAAATATAAAAAAAAATACAAAATACATTTACTAATATAATGTAAAATTATAATTCAAATCTATATTTTAATAATCTACGAATATTTACAATAATTAAATGAATTTCCAAATTTTATATATACTTGATCATGCAATTATTGACAGTGTGAATATTTTGGATTTTGAAATTTTTAAATTTTATCATTTAGCAAAATAAATTTTTTTAAAACATTAAAAATATGAAATATTAAATTTATAAAAATTTATAAAAATATTAAATTTATAAAAAAATATGAAATATTAAATTTAATATATAATAATAGTATAATTTTAAAATATTAAATTTTTGTAAAAAATTGACTTTTGACAACTTTTTCTCTTTTTAACCCATTACTAATTTTATACATTACGTATAATATTCTTCTATTACCTTTCTTACTATTCTCGGAAATTTTTATTATTATTTTTTTTTTTTTCAATCCTATTGCGTGAGATGACTTATTAGTGCTTAGTGTTGGACATTAAATTGAATAAATTTAATATTTCTCAGAATCGTAAATGCTAGAATTACCTGTGCTATTTGAAAAATATAGAAATTCATTTTCTTTCTGTCATGGATTTTTGATAATTAATTAACCGTTATCATTATATTTCTCCTGTATCGCAAAATATTATACATTATAATATTATGTTTGTTTTTTTTTCCTCTTTTATTTTTATAATCCATAAAGAATCAATTACGAATATTCTATTGAATTCTATTGAATCAAAAGAAATAGAAAAAAATGAAAAAAAAAAAGAATCATACGCATGACAAATCTATCTATAAAATAACACGTGCATTCTAAGTCAGTGTTCTTCAGTATTAAAGTCAAATGGACAGTCACTACTTAATCCTGTTTCGAGAAACAGAAGATCTCGCTCACGAGGAAATCCACTACTATTTCTATCTTCCAAGAAGTAGACTGAAAATTTAAGATGGCTGACTTGGCCGACTGATCTAAGAAGTTCAAATTAATCAATTAAATAATACATGAATTAAATAATACTTTTTAAAAAATATTATTTAATCATCTTTCTCATACGGCATATAGATATCAATATCGCGTCTATGGGATATGTTACTCGTTCAAGTATTGTCGACGATAGATTCTTTCGAAAGAAAGATGATGGCTAAAAAAGCGCTAAGATCACGTTATCGCTCGGTGATTACACAGACGACGAAAATAAAAGATCGCCGAGTCCGGTAAAGGTGTAAAATGGAAAATCGAACATCGACATCGTCGCGAGGATCTCGAGCTTAAGCCAGAATGACGCTCGACGATATTAAAAGCTCGTCCTTCCACCGTTTCCGTTTCCGACTTTTGTAATTTCCCGTAGCTTTCAGTATTCGTGCGCGATTCCGAAGGATTTATCAACGATGCGGACTGCTTATGCACGACACGAGCCGATTTGATGCCGATTCGCGATTCCATAGGCAGATAAAAATCGTACCATGATTCTCTCGCCCCAGCGATGGCTAAATCATTGGCGATACAGTAAACCGATGTATTCCTCTGAACAGTTTTTATGATTTTTAAAAAAATTTTATTTGATCCATGAAGTTTTTGAATCGATGCGATTAGGACACGAATAGTAAAGAATAAAGAAAAAAGTTTTTTGAATCATTCTTTCAGACTAATATATAATTTTTATTGTTTTTGTAAGTAATATGCAATTACTTTTATATAATTATTTCCAAAATTTCCTTTTAAAATTTTAAGGAAAAGAAAAGGTAATCTTTACTTCGAAGATTCTTTTATAATCTTTGATTAATTATAATTGTAAAAATTATTCTTAAATTGAAAAAAATTGCCAAGAAAATAGAAATTTTATCGTTGTAAAATAATTTGCACGAGATTCTTACCTGTTGGGAAATTTCAGAGTCGCACAGGATGAAGGGGAGCAGCAAGAATCGGCGCGATTGAAAGCGGATTGAAAAGACGAATTTTCCAGACAAATGTCTTCGAGAACACTTTTTAAACGACACGAAAGATGGTATATGGGGCCCCGAAAAATAGATATACCCACGGTTGAGGAGAATCGGTGGAATGCAAGTCGCTCAACAAGTGGCCGCTTTTATATAGAGACGCGCTAAGTAACTAGCTGCTTTAGCGCAAGCGTAGCCAAAGACAAAAGACAAAACAAGGAACAATTTTAATGATTGCGATTTTAAAAAATCGCTATGACTTTTTCAGAATCAAAATTTTCTCGAATTTTCTTGTTTTTTTTCTTTCTTATTTGTTTTTCGAGAAATGCATTATTCCTAGAAGATAATTATCTGATATGATGTAAAATCTTTTATAATGTAAAATTTTTTTTTTTAATATACATGTAAATGGACATGTTTATTGATAAGAAGTCTCATTTAGAAATAAGGTTATACAGAATCATGTATCAGTTTGCAAAGATAAATATGTATATAAAATAGGTATCAATTAGGTATAATATTTAATTTTTTATTTTTAATTAATTTTTTCTAAGCATGTACCTTTCTTTTTTTTTTAGTTACTCTTATTCTAATTCTCAGAGATTCTTATTTCTTTTGGAATTATAGTTCTTATAGTTTGTAATGCGATGATTAAAATCATGGATTTATCGTTCTTTTTAATTCCACAAATTCAATAGAAAAATTATTATTTTAGTTAATTGGCAAAGTTGAGCGATTTTTTCGAAATTTTCATAAATGATATATAAAAATTAATGTATATGAAATCAGAAATAAAATTTTCATTATAACACAAAGTAAAGAATTTTCCTAAATAATATTTTTCTCTTAATTTAATTTTTATAAAAAAAAAAGTGAAAAAATATTTAAAAATCACTGTTGAATATACGCAATATTGCTTCCTCGAACAAAATTTTACCTATCATGTTTTATTTTATTTATTTTATATATTTTATGTATTTTTGTGACAGATATTTGTTTAAAATTCATATTTTATTTCAGTTTTTAATATAATTCAATTGGTAAGGAATAGTTTTAATTTCAAACGATGCACCACTTGCATTTCTGCGTTATCAGCGGCTGATCAGGTAGATCTTACATCTACTTAAAAAACTTTCCTCGCACTGCATTACCGCGCTTTGCTTACTCGTGTTTAAATTCCATTTACCGCCCACTGACGGCACCAAGCTCTTCAAAATCTTTCAAATATTTATAACATACCCTTTTAATTATAAAAATTTAATTGTCAATGAACTTTTCCCATTTCTAATCATTTAATTATTTATTTACTCGATATAAACATATAAATATTTTTATCCTAATTTTACTCGATTCCTCGAATAGATGTTAAAAATGTTATAACTCTAATCTCAGCGATTTTTCATAATCACGGATAATAATCGTATACACGCAACCAACAGAGCATCGAAACTCACGATAATTACAAGGCTGAAAACACCAATTAATTGTACATAGGATCACGATGTTATACATCTTGGTTACACTAATTTGCACCGATTCATTGAAACGTTTGTTAAAAATTTCCCGTAATCATTTATTTGCGTATAGGATCTCTAATTAATCCGAGTCTTAAAAAAAAAACAGCTGAATTCGACCGCGATATTTGTTTAATAATATTTATTTGATTAAATCGAAGTGCAGGTAATTTTTCCGATTATTATACATCGATTTTTAATATATCGAATAATCTAAAAAAATTAAAAGTAAATTTATATATTAATTCATTTCGTTCGATAAATTATTTAATTTTAAACGTCAATCAAGATTCATGCATATATTTTAAATATCGTATCTTTAATGTATTTACTGAACATTTAAAATTTCAAAAATATGAATCGAAATGCATTTAGTTTATTTAATTATATTTATTTAATAAATCGTTTTAATTGAACATCAATCAATATTTACTCGGACGGGTATTAAACGATCATAATTTTTTTTTATATTGACTTTGACTTATTGAAAAATAAAATAAATTAATAATAATAAATTTCAAAGATACGGATTAATCTCGAAAATTAATATCGATATCTGTGATTTATTATTTTTACAGTCGACTTTAATAAATTTCATTTCAACAAGATGTACATAAATATATATATATATACATATCTCGATGAATTTATTTTTTATCACCAACACGATTTAATCGTGTTTCATTCAACGTTCACGTAAAATGTAAATTTGCTAACGTGTTCAGCGAGTTCGCGGCATGAAAATAACGCGAATAACTGGACAGGCAATCAAATATTTCTTAGGCCGTTCGATCGGTTACACGAGTGAATTTTCGACGCGCTGCCGCGTACACGCTTTGATTGCCGAACTCTGCTTGTTTATACGTAAACCTGTTATTTAACGTATATTGTTATACGTACTTACGCAGCGGAGGGCATTACCAGCGGAGTGCAATGTACCGTTGATTGCCGTGGGCGTCGTAATTTCCCTCTCACCCCTCGTCTCGTATCCCGCACCGTTCGAATATTATTCCTGATCGATTCGAAGAATCGAACTCATCAATAATATCGGCCCATGCCCGAAATTACACGTTGCAACATCACCCAGACGCGATTTCTCCTCTATCGTTGCAAATAGTTCGCTTTATATATCCATCCCATTTCGATCGTTCGAAATTTCTCCCACCAATTTCTCCAATTTTCACTCACCTTTGACACGAAAACGATACCGTGCACCTCTACGTATTATTTCAAATCATCTTTTTCCTAAACAATTTTTATCCTAACTATTTTTTGCGAGGGAGAAAAAATCGAGAAGGAAAGAAAAAAAAGAAAAAGAAACATTCTTCGATCCATGAATTTGAATTTATTCAACGTAACGTTAAAAGGGAAATCCATAACCTACATTTCACAGCTTGCCAATATCGTCATAAGTTATCCAGATTATCGCGTAGGAAAGCCAAAAGTTACTCGAACAGGGAAGCGGAACCGATCCATCCACACGAAGCAGACAATCGTTCCACAGGACAGGATCTTCCTACGCTGGAGTCCAAGTGTCTCCAGGGAAAAATGCGTGATTCATCGCGATCAAAGAGCAGGACGACGACGACGACGACGACGACAACGACGGCTACGTCCCTCGCTAATAGAACAAAACGATCCCTCCACGTATTGACTGCTTTAATAGATAAGATTACCGGCACCGAGTACCGGTTTCTAGGGGCTATTGCTCGATAATACCGGTCCCCGGTGTTTCATAGAAATTCAAAAGGAACGAGACGAGACGCGAAAGAAGAGGTGGAAAGAAAGGAAAAGAAAATGATCGGCCGGGTACCAACCTCGATGGGGATAGCCATCGAATTACGAGTGTCCGTGAACCTCGGAGAAGGATGATTTTACGGAACGGTGGGGATGCTGTACCGCTATGTGGCAGTGTTACATCGTCCATTTCCCCTCTACCTGGCCACACACCATCATCCACGCTCTCCTCCCTCCCTCTCTTACATCATCGAGATCCCTCCCCAACCCGCTCTCTCACGACGACACGGCCTCTCTCGCAGTCGGGGGCACAACGGTTACGTTTTACCGTTGCAAGCCGTTCGTTTGCTCGCTCGCGCGGTATTCGTATAACCCGCGTCCGGTACCTCTATCCTATCGTACGCCCACATGCGTGATCGACCGCGCGCACACACTCACGCACACGCACACGCGGCTGGAAAATGGAAAACATCGATGCGCAAGGATGGGGTGGACGCATGGAGTCCATGGAACAACCCCCTCGCTTCGCGCGCCATGTTTCTTTTTTTTTTTTTTTTT